CCCAGGAAACCCCAGGGCCAGCGTACCCAGTGGACAACTACAGACCACGTCAGCGCACCACCACCCTGCCCCTGCACAGTGATCGTCCACGGAGGGCGGAGGTTTGTGGTAAGTGGCCACAGCCAGTCCTTGCAGCTGACTGGCCTGGGTAAATCTTTCTCATTGATCTGCCAACAGCAGCCAAGGCTCAACTACAAGAGAAAGGTGTACTCAGCCCACATGAAAGGCGCATCTTGAATATCCAGCTTGGGTGACAGGGGAGGCTGTGCCACTGGACCCTACAGGACACCTACTACATTAGGCCACACTACCAAGACACAGAGTCAAAGCAGCTCTACCTAACACATAGAAACAAACAGAGGGAGGCTGCCAAAACAAGCAAAGAAACATAGCCCAATTGAAAAAAAAAAACAGATAAAAACTCCAGAAAAAGAACTAAACTAAATGGAGATAAGCAATCTATCAGATGCAGAGTTCAAAATACTGACTATAAGGATGCTCAAGGAACTTAGTGAGGACCTCTGTAGCATAAAAAAGATGTAGTCAGAAACGAAGGATTCACTCATTGAAATAAAGAACAATTTACAAAGAAACAACAGTAGAGGGAATGAAGCTGAGAGTCAAATCAATGACTTGGAACATAAGGAAGCAAAAAAACAACCAATCAGGACAACATGAAGAAAAAAGAATCTGAAAAAACAAGGGTAGTATAAACAGCCTCTGGGATGACGTCATTTACATCATAGGGGTGCCAGAAGAGAAGAGAAAGAGCAAGAAATTGAAAATCTATCTGAAAAAATAATGAAAGAAAACTTCCCTATTTTGGCAAAGGAAATAGACACGCAAGTTCAGGAAGAACAGAGTCCCAATCCAGTTGGACCCAAAAAGGCCCACTCCAAGACACGTCATAATTAAAATGCCAACGGTGAAGGATAAAGAATCCTACAAGCAGCAAGAGACAGGCAGAGAATTACCTACAAAGGAGATCCCATAGGACTGTCAGTTGATTTCTCAAAATAAACTTAACAGGCAAGAAGGGGCTGGCAAGAAGTATCCACAGGGATGAAAAGCAGGGACCTACAACCAAGATGACTCTATCCAGCAAAGCTGTCATTTGGAATGGAAGGGCAGATAAAGTGCTTCCCAGACAAAGTAAAACTAAAGGAATTCATCATCACCAAGCCATTATCACATGAAATGTTAAAGGGACTTAATTAACAAAAAGAAAAAGGTCAAAACTATGAACATTAAAATGGCAACAAACTCACAACTATCAACAGCTGAATCTAAAAAATAACAAAAACTAAGCAAACAATAAGAACAGGAACGGAATCACAGGTATGGGGATCATTTGGAGGGTTATCAGCAGGGAGGTGGAAGGGGGAGAAAGGGGGAAAAGGTGCAGGGATCAAGAGCATAATTGGGAGGGAGAAAATAGACAGGGGATGTGAAAAATAGCATAGGGAAGGGAGAAGCCAAAGAACTTATATGCATGACCCATGGACATGAACTAAGGGGGGGATTCCTGGAAGGAAGGGGTGTATCGGGTGGAGGGGGCAAAGGAAAAAATTAGGACAACTGTAAGAGCATAATCAATAAAATATACTTAAAAAAAGAGAGAAAAAAATGCCCAACCCCCCCAAGTTATCTACCCCCTCTCCATAATGTAATCCTATAACATCTGAAGGAAGAAAGAGGGGCCTAGAATTTGGAATCAGAAGAGTTGTATGTAAATAAAGGCCTGGTTACTTACACAGCGTTGCAACTCTTCTCATTTATAAAATTGAGAAATGTATTGCCCTTACCTATTTTGCTATACAAATGCTATAATTATTAAGGTATTCTGATGGCTCATCAATAGCTGCTATTTGCTTTTGCCTGCTTTGCTGTCATTGATTTTAGCAATGGTTTTATGAATCTGACTTCAAAGGCCAGGGCAACAGCAAAAATAAACAAACAGGCCCACATCAAACCGAAAAGCTTCTGCACAGCAAGGGAAGCCATCAACAAGACAAAAAGGCAACCTACTGAATGGGGGGAAATAGCAAATCACATATCTGATAAGGGTTAATAGTCAAAGTATATACATACCTCATACAACGCAGTAACAACAACAAAAAAGATCCAATTAAAAAATGGGCAGAAGATCTGAACAGACATTTTCCCAAAGAAGGACAGACAGACAGCCACCAAGTACATGGAAAGATGCTCTACACTACTAATAATCACAGAAATGCCGATGAAAACCACAATGAGGTACCACCTCACACCTGTCAGAATGCCTATTATTAAAAAGACGATAAACAACAAGTCTTGATGAGGACGTGGAGAAAGGGGAACATTCATGTATGGTTGGTAGGAATAGAAATCGGTGCAGCCACTATGGAAACCAGTATGGAGATCCCTCACATTTTAGAAATTGGACTACCCTATGATCCAGCAGTTCTACTTTTGGGTATTATCCAAGGAAAATGAAAACACTCATTTGAGAAGGTATACACAACCGTATGTTCACTGCAGCATTGTTTATAGTAGCCAAGATATGGAGACAACCTAAGTGTCCATCTATGGGTGAATGGATAAAGATCTGGGGTGTGTGTAGGTATGTATATATTTATACACATATATGTACTGGAATGCTACTCAGCCATAAAAAAAGAATAGAAATCTAGCCATTCATGACAACACAGATGGGACTTCAGGGTATTAAGTTAAATAAGTCAGAGAAAAAAAAATACTGTTTGATTTCACGTATATGTGGAACCTAAAAAAAAACCAAAGAATAAACAAACCAAGCCAGTGTCACAGACACAGAACACAGATTGAGGGTTGCCAGAGGGAAGTGGGTTTGGCGGTGGGCAAAGTGGGTGAAGGAGGATCAAGATGTACAAACTTCCAGTCACCAAGTAAGCCATTGGGATGTAATGCACAGCTTGGTGACTACAGTCAATAATATTATATTGCAAAATTGAAAGTTGCTAAGTAAATTTTGAAGTTCCCATCACAAGAGAAGACACTCTGTAACTCTGTCTGGTGACAGGCAGGAAATAGGCTTCGTGTGATCCCTTTGCAGTGTATACAGATGTTGAACCATGACGTTGTACACCTGAAACCGGTATGTTGTATGTCAAGAACACCTCAGTAAAAAAGGAAAAATTCTTAATTCTCATTAAAGTACCTAAGAGTTTTCTCTGACTCAATTACCCGTCTTAAACCCCATTTATGTCCAGCATCTGTGTATTTTATAAATTATAAAGCATGATATAAGTGTATAGCTTTCATGTTTATAGCAAATGCCAAGTCTCCATGAATTTCACTGTTCTCATAAAAATCCCTTTGTCCCACAGTTTTAGAGGGTTCTCATCTCCCTGCCAAAGCGGTTCCTTTGAGTTTAACTTTTCAGTCATCATCTCCCATTTTATTCATTTAAACAAAAAAAAATCTGTCTTGTAGTTGTAGAGAAATTATAAGATCCCTCAGACGCCTACTCTTTAAGCTTTGTAGGAGTTAAAAAAAAACTACTCAAATTTCTTTCATTCATAAACTTATCATATAAAAACCAGTACATGATACCATGTGCTTCACATGGCAGGCAGCATAAGATCAGTAGGCTCTGAGAGTCCTGAAACTTCAAAGTCAAAATTAAAATTAAATTGTCCCTATTTTAATTACTATTCCACTTCAAAAATCTTACAGGAGAAAAAAACTAATCTCAGGGTTACAACTCATATGCCAAGAGCATTTATTGCTTCGGTGGAAAGAGATCCGCTCATAAGGTTTCACTGTGAGCACACAACAAACCCTCAATGATGTGCCAACGGTCAGCTGCCTTCACGAACTCCAGGGTACCCTCCCCATGCTTCTGGGTCACCTCCCTCTACTGATGTCCGCAAATATGCAGGGGCATTAATCTTAGTATTTAAATACTAATCTTTCAGGTTAATCCACAAAACCCGAGTAATTCAAAAAACCCGAAAACATCATCAATGCATTCCAAAGTGAAACATATTTCACATGTTGGATGTTTTCTTACCATCACTTTCTAGAACCTAGCACGATGCCCTCTATTCGCAGCATTGTTGATGCTTTCACAACTTTCAGGGTTTCCCTGACCACTCTGCATAAAAATAACCCCCACTCCCACATATGACCACTGGTACTTCCTGTCTTCCTTGGTCATTTATAGCTACAGAGCTTATCACCATCTGGCATAAAATACATTTAGTGCATATTTGCTTTTCTGTATTCTCCTCCCCCACAGTATAAGCTTCATGAAGCAAGGGATGTTCTGGCTGTTCAGTCGGTGCCTTGAACGGTTCCTAGCACACGGTATGCAACCAAAACACGGGACTTGTGAAAGGGACCTTGAGAGAGTAAGTACAATGCCCCTGGGTTATAGACGAGGAAGTGACTCCACAGATGGGCAGGAAAAAGGCACCTACCACGGAACAGACATTACAAAGCCCATGCAAGTGATGTCCCCATCACACAGGAGTCCAGCACATAGGCTTTGTACTTGGGCAGAGCTCGATCCCAGCCCATTCATTAGTAGTGGCATGGCGGACAAATCAACCTCTTCATGTCTGAATTGATCCAGCATGAAATAGGAATAATAACAGCATCAACTCACTGTTGTCATTAAAGTGGTTAAACATGCTAATGGGTGTAAAACATCACAGTACATAGCAATAAATAGTGCTTAATGGAAGGGATCTAACATTGTATTTATCATCACCGTCATCATGTCACTCAGGCTCTGTAGTCGATTTATTAATATTTCCCAAGTAATTTGTGGTAAAACTCGCTATCTAGTTTCTAACACCATACAGTAGCCAGGAAGCAGCAAATTAGAGAAACAAAGCAGTTGCCAGAAGTGAGAGCAGCAAAAAAAAAAAAAAAGGGGGGGGGAGAGAAATGAGAAATAAAATCCAGAATTCCCGAGATACTGCATTATACAACACAATACCCAGGTCCAAGAAAATGATGCTTAGCCACTAAAAAAAAGTTACATTACATTTAATACACTCCTCAGACAGCAAGAAAATATAATTCTAAAATTGGAAAGATTTACTGCAAAATGGTTTGGACAAACTTTTGTTGTACAAGATAAATTTCCATTACCTTGATAGCTCACCCTCTAGAGAAAAAGGAGCAAAGTAAATGAGGCATTACTATATGGAAGGCTTGACTGTGACTGCTGTGAATGCCCATGGGGGTAATTCACGCCAATCTTTCTAAAGCTTTTTTTGACACCCTCTTACAGATAAATGATCCCCATATGGGATCCTTCTTCTCTCGTAACTGTAACGTTGTACCATAGGTGTGGGTTTCAGTGAGGCGATAAACAGTTCCGCTCCACTCTCTCAGGAACAGTGCTAAACCCTGCAACACATCTGATCTACTAGTCCCATATCCTTTAGTGACACAATAACCAGAACTTTCTGAGATCAGGAAGAAAATCAAATCTCACAATCAAAGCCACATTCCAAATTTCTTAAAAGACTTTTTTTGTTCAACTCTTTTGTAAAAACATTGGTCACCATTTAACGTACAGTGGCAACAAAACGCACCCAATTTACATGCATCCAGAAGTCAATAAACCATAACACACGGACAACATGAATTTTAAGTGAACAGTACTAAAAAGCAGCTCACGTTGCATTTCACCGCAGTGATAGTGCTCCCAATAAATAAATAGCTGATATGAGAAATGAGAATTCCAGTTTCAATCTGAAATAAGATTCTCCGTGACAAATAACAAACTAATGATTCCATAGAGTAATTATCCTAAAGGGACTCATTTTTCAGAAATCACTCTGTGCAAAGCACCATACTAGTACAGAGTAAGATCCTGAAAAAAAAATGTGTATCTTAGGTGAAAGACAAAAGGGCGCCATTTTTTGAAAAGTAATTACCTAAATGATGCAAATTTTTATTGTGTCCAAAAATTAAAATACCTTTCAATACAAAGATTTTATGTTACATGATTGGACACCTTAAATAACTCTGTAGATGTTCGGCTAAACTGAAATATTTTGTAGGGCTGGGTTATTTTAAACAGAATAACAAAACAGAAAAAAAAACCCCAGCACTCAAAAGCCCTTTCTCAACTCACAGGCAAGGTTTCTGGATATGGGATTTAATTAATAAGAAAAAAATTTAAGCACCACAATAAAACGCTTTTTCAGAAAACAGAAAGGTCAAGTTAGGGACAAAAGCATGTAAACATAAATAAAAAATTTTAATAAGCACTCTAGTCCTCTCCTCTGAAATAACAAAAGCAAAATTTGGTGTGTGTCTGGTATCCTGTTTAATAAGATAACGTGGTCTATAATTCTAATTTGATCAAATGAGACTGTCATGTATCTGTACATAATAGTATGTATTTATTTTCATACTGTATGATTTATTTTTTCCTTAAAAATCTATGATTAAAGGATAGCACTAAATTCTTTTAAAGTGCACCAAAGAGAATTTATGATAAATTGCCTAATGGGAAAAATCAGGTCCTCTGGAAAAGAGCTCAAAGTAAACATATGCAAATAAAATTTTAAAATAAGGTGGCTGTACAGCCACCTTATAAATTTCCTTTATTTTGCATCTATTTATCAACATAAATAACTTCAGCGGCCCAAATAGTAATTTTAATTTCAGTTTTTCTCCTCCATGATGTGTTTAGTTACTCTTACAAGTAAGAGTCATTTTTTAGCATGGGTAACAACTTTAAGTGTTCATAAAATTAAATTTTATGTTTCCCACATGGTTATATTTAAGTCAGATATACGAGACTGAAAATAAGTAGCTTCAGCCTAGAATATGATTTAAATACCACAAAAGAAGAAAAAAGACCAACAAAAAGCAGAATTTCAACTCATGTAACTTTTGACAGACTATATATAGCAAAAAGATATATATATATGTATATATATATAAAATATTTAGTTTTCACCTCAAAAGAAGTTATCCAGAAATAAAACTCACTAAACAAGATGCAACACCACCAGGATTATGAGTAGGAAGTAGTCAGATTCACTCAATTCAGATGACAAGACACTTTGGAGTGGGGGGAGGAATCCTTCCCAAACAATATAAATTATATCTCATTAACCTTACAAACATCCTTTCAACTTTACCTTTTATACCATAAATCTTCTTGACAGTTCCCATTTTCTATTTCTCTAAAAAAAAATTTTAGCCTCTTAATTTCCAAGTGTCATGACAAACCCCTTAGCTCCCTGTAATTCCACAATCACCATTAAAAAGATCCCAAAATAATATTTTTCTTCCTCTTAGGAGTCAAAAACCACCATATGATTATGTAAAATTGAGAAATTAAAAGTAAAAACATCAATTCAAAATAATATACTTAGCGTATATGATATTATGTAAGTAGGGAGACCACATAATTAATTGCTCATTCTGACTGACCTCTGGCACTTGAGACAGTAAGGTTAGAAAATTAAAATAAGTAATAAAAACTTAAAATATTTAAAGTCTACATCCATCTGGAATAGATGTGGGAGTAAAAAATGATGACAAATTATATAACTGTGAATGTTTACTGTGAAACAGTACAAAATTGATGTTGCCAGAAAGAGTAAAAAATCTCCAACTGATATTAAACATCTTAAGTAATTTGGAGAAATCCTAAGGTTGAATTGCAGCTATCCAGCACACGACAACGGAAACGCTTCCATGCATGCGCACGTTAGATAACAAATAGGGAAACCCCAGGTCAGTACACTACACCAATGACTGGTACTTAGATGATATTTGGATATACAAAGAAAGAGCAGAAAAAATAAAACGCTGATTGCCATTGATGAAAAAGCATTTTGACAAGTTACACGACATGATACTAAACAGTTTTTTTTTTAAAAAAAAGATGTCCTAAGAAAACCAAACCACAATAAGTTAGTGTTTTCCACAATACATGCTGAAATTATTTGATCCCGTATCTATACACTGTTACTGCCTTAATTCCTAAATGTCGTGACAGCATAGTTAATAATTGAGGTACATTAGTTTACATCTTTTTATAGGTACTGTAAGAGGGTTAATTTTTCTTTTCCAGTTTTTCATCTTCTTCACCTACTCCAAAGAAAATCAAGGGGAACATTCCTAGAATGCAGCCAATCGTCACCCCAACAGCTTTGCCCTGAGGAAACAAAGAAAACAGTTTTTGAAAGTTATTTTATCCCTGTAAGAGGAATCTCTTGCTTAAGTATTTACTATAAACAATGACTATGTACTATAAAATTCAACTGTGACTGCATGTCATTTGATCATAGTAACTTGAATATTAAAAAAAGTCCTGGCTGTTGTGGCTCAGTGGACTGAGGGCCCGCCTGCGAACTGAAAGGTCGCTGGTTCTATTCCTAGTCGGGACACATGCCTGGGTTGAGGGCCAGGTCCCCAGCTGGGGCACGCGAGAGGCAAGCGACCTATGTATCTCTTGCACATCAATGTTTCTCTCCCCCTCCTCCTCCCTCCATTCCCCTCTCGAAAAATAAAAATAAAAAAATAAAGTCTTTTAAAAAAAGAAGCTACAAAATGATTCTAGAACAAAGGATATTTAAAGTTCAACGCAACCAGGAAATTTTTTTTTATCAAACAGCCATAAAAATAACATCAAAGAAATATTTAATTAGAAAACACTTACTAAAAATTGTACATATATTTTAATGTCAGAAGACAAGGAAAAAACCTCACTTCAATTCTTACTTTAACCTTAGATGATGTTGTTACTTATATATACTTACAGAGACCATACTGTGTTTTAGATTCCTGACTTCCTCATGTATATATATGTATGAAATGACCACTGCTATTAGACTCCACTTCTACTTCCCACCCTTTCTGCTAGAATGTCTGCTACCACCATCCACGAAAACCAAGGCTTTCTTCCTCCGCACCGGAAGAATGCCAGTCAACAAGCTCCAATCCAATTATCTCAACTGGCATAAAATCAATAGGCAGAGGAGGAGGAAAGAAATGGGACTTCCTTTTCTGGCTCCCTGGTCACATATTTTCCACTGTTAAGAATAGTCACTTACATGCATTATTTTCAGATCTTATGATACTAGACCCTGTAGTTAACTGTAGCATACTGGAGCTAACCAAGGACTTAAGTACATCTGAAATATTGTTTTGCAAAAAAATATATATTTTCAGAGTTTCAAACAACTAAATTACAAATGAGGTTTTTAAATACAACACATTTAAACCATGTCCGTTAGAAGCTGCACGTGTGTTGGCATATATTCTGTTATGTAGGACCTCAGAGTTAGCTCATGTCATCACTAGATGGCTGATCACTAGCCTCAACCACTACGGGCTGCTCATCACCAAATGCTATGTTACCGAACAGAAGGTCTGATCCTAACATAAAATGAGCAGAGTCAGCAACTAAGGAAAATGCTTATGGAGTTTGATCAACACACACACACACACGAATACATATATATAATTAATAGTTTAATAACTGAAGTGCTTTTGTTATAGGAGAGGGAAAGGGACCTACTTCTAATATAGAAAGAAAACAGAATCATCATTTATGTGACAAGACCCCAGGACAATAATCTCTTGGTCCCAACTGTGGCGGTAAACTGTTAAGCCCAATTACGAGAATGTCAGAACATCCTTCCTCCTCAACAACTCCGGCGGATGTCAGCTAGCTAGTTCATCACTTCAGGTCATCTACAAATGGCAGATAGGGACACACGCACACACTCACGTGTAATTTTTTATGCAGCAATAGACAGGTCTAAGGCAGGGCCTGAGAATTCGCACATCTAACAAGCTCCCAGGCACCGCTGATTCTGCTGGTCCTGGCATCGCACGCAGAGGACCACTGCCCTCCACAGTCGCCTTCCCACACGGTTTTAACCACCACCGGCCCTTTCACTGAGGCCTGCGGTGACCCTCCCGTGTGACGCTGCGGTCGGTCTGCATCCTAGCATTCCTTTACTCGGCTCAGCTTTCTTTTTGCTTTAATTCCCATAACACTGTGAGCTTCTAATATAATAAATATCTTATCTGCCGGGGTTTTAGAATAGCTTCTCTCCCCTCAGGCTACTAGAAAGTAAGATTCCCCAGAAAAAACAAAAACAAAAACATTTTGTTTTGTTAGCCAATATATTCAGAACTCTTAGGTCTGTACCCTACATATTATAAGTAAACAATAAATATTTGTTGAATGAATGAATGATAACATCATTCTCTCTGTTTCAGAACTCTATAAAACTTGACCTTTAACCCAAATGCCTACTAGGTGTCACCGTTTGAGCGTCCTACTAGTAGCTCAAATGCAGCATGCCCAAAACAGAACTCATTCTCCTCGCCTACAAACATGGTCTTCCTCCTCTTCTTGACTTAATTGGTGCCACTGTGATCCACCTGGTTTCCTTCCTTCCTATTTAAAATAGCCCTCCATCACCTAGGTTGAGGTTCAGGCTCCTTAGCATGATTTATACATCAACAGGAGAGTGTCTTTCTTGTCTGATCCGTTCTTGCTGCTCCAGTGCTGTGTTCCACTACTGCTTCTACCCAGAACCACTGCACAGTATATCGCAGTAATACCCAATTTCTTGTATCTCTCTGAACACACCCTGCTTTGATCACGCTTTTCCACCTGCTGGTCAATATACTTGGAATCTCTTGTCCACCTAGTAAACATCTTACCAATAATAATAAAAAAACCAGCTTAGATCTAATAATCACCAAGAAATCTCCTCGCCAAAAGAAATTTCTCCCCAATAAGTGTTCATTCTTTTACTTGTGCTATTATTATATCTCGTGTAAAATTCTATTACCGCACCTGTCACACTAAATTATAATTTGTTTAAATGTTGGGTTCTCTAACTAAACAATCCTCAAAAAAAAAACTATAGTTAATTATTTACTTTATGACTAAGATATAACTAATACCTCAAGATTAACTGAGGTATATGAAGAAATTTTAAAAAATCAAGTACACCTACAAAAAATGTCAATAAACAATTACTCTTTCACTGAAAACTGCCAAGGCTTGGACAGTTTAAAAACTCCATGCTAATAAATTTTTGTCTCCGAAGGGACTGAACTTGACCTGGCTGCCCGAATGCACCATCACCAGCCATACGGAGCACTTACCAGGTGTGAACTAACACGCGTCTGCCACATGTCCACTTGCTTTGGTGTAAGATCAGGGATTGACAGGCCCAACCTGGAAGCCAGAGCTTCGACGTAGCCTGCGAGTCTTCAAAATACATGAGGACAGAACACAGGTTATTAAAGAGACACACAAATATCCTCAGGCAGTAAAAAACTAATTATTGCAAAGAGAAACAAAATAACTTTATACCTATAACTAACTGGCATCCTAGAAATGCTATAAACATTTTCATAAACTTTCATCTTTTATTGTGCATAAATATATCCAGTTTAAAACTATTTTCATATTATTATATTTAATACATAGGTAAATTAATTGACTTAGAGAAATTATTCTCTACTATTAATTTAAAAAGATCAACTCAAGCTATATAAAATTTTTTACAATTACAATTTATGCATTTAATCTAAATTCAAAGTAAAGCACTTTAATATATGGTATAAATGAATAATTGTTATCAGAAAGCAAAAACTTCCAAAATGTATCAGAGAGATGACAAAAACAGCGTAGAATGTTCAGGACAATCTCAAGTATTTATCAATTCTAAGTTGCCATCACTTATTGGATACAATCTTACTTTATAAACTGTAAAAAAAGAAAAAACCGCCAATGTCAGATACATTAAGTCTCAAAAAAACTGTGTATCTAAGTACTGATAAACTGTGGTATGTGTTAATGATTTTAAGGCGGAGAAGAAATAGTTCTCAAATATAAAGTCTTCCAACAAAATCTTTATCTATAAACAAAAATAATTGTTTTATGAAGCAATCTAAAGCTAAATGGCCTTAAAATCTATTAAGTCATTTTGTTCTATTAAATATAGAGCGCTATCAGAGCAGCTATAATATCATTATTAACTTCAATGTTGGAAACTGGGAAATGAAATGTTTGAGGAGTGATATCATTACAGATTTATGCCAGAAATTCTAGGAATATAAAATTTCGGCCCTGGCCCCAAAGCAAAGAAACTTGGGTTTTAAAACCAGTAGCTTTGGCCCCAACTCCGGTGCAGATCACTTACGAAGCTGCCTGTGCCTACATTTCAGGGCTACGGAGACTTCTATTAGCCCCAAATCTAAATTTCAAAATTTATCACTCCAACGAACCAGGGAAGGAAGAAAGAGAACCAAAAATTGAGTAAAAGAGAGTATATTTATCACTATAATTAATGCCAATTTAGTCCAGTTTGTACTTCCCAGACTTCCCCAAGCTCAGGAAGCAGCCCAGACCTTTTGTTGCTTGGAAATGAGTGTAAAAGGAGAGAACTGGGGGCTTTTCTAAGTAGACTCCCTCCGTTTGTTTCATCATTCCTGCTACATGAAGTAAAAAGACAAAAACTGGCCAAACACATACATGTATGCCTTGGCCATTACTCCCTGCAAAAGTTTCTCTCTCTAGGAAACATTCCCAGCATCCTCACCTCTGAGCCATATCTCTTATCTTTGGGCTTAGTGGGAGGAGGGTGGGGTGACATAATGATAGGAGTTCTCACTATTAATCCTGTCCCAGCCTTGGAAATGTATATAAAACACACACATATAAATACTTAACTCTGCTTACATTGTGATAGTTTTAGAAAATATTGTGCATATATCAGAACTGCTTGAGAAGATTATTAAACACAAATGTCAGGGCCCCATCCCCAGAAATACTAATTCCGTACGACTGGGGTGCAACCCTGGCATCTATATTTGATGCACGACAAAGATTTAGTACTACTGATATAGAAACTTTAAAATTTAGTTCTAAAACACACAGAGAAATAGATGTTTCTTTTTTAGCCTTCTTAATCACAGGAGAAGGAAGAAGAGAAAGACAGCAAGTACACACGTGCACAGATGAAGAAATGAAGGGACCTACCCAAGTCCAGCCAAATCTGACACAAGATTTCCCAAAGCAGCAGCTAAAAAAAGTGGAAAATGACAAGTGAATTGTTACATGGAAGTCATTAAAATCATTATAATACATTACTTTGTCATCAATAAGTCACTTGTCTGGAAGCGTTACCACATTTCTCAAACTAAAACAACGGTCTGCATTCAAAGTAACTCACTGGATAGCTCTGCACCTCAAGAACTCAAAATAGAACACAGTTCTTCTGAGATTATAGTATTCACCTCCATCAAGGAGTAGGGTTTCTTTCTGTTGTGGCAGCCAGTTTTGATCTTGGTTTCAATGTTAAGACGTGTACAATATTTTGTAGTTGTAACTTTCAGACAATATTTGTTAAAGGGAATTCAGACAGTTGGAAGAGAGTAAAGCTACATGTACAGCTCTGAAATTCAAGAAAACCAAGAAGCAGTATCTCTTTCATCCATTCATCGACTTCATGTGCTCCCATAACACATACAACACAGAACTAACCCCAAATTTCAGCATCATGAACAGAGTGTTAACTGGGGGAAAAGATGAAGATAGAACCAAAATGGATTTCCCATCATGTATTTCCTTCTTTGATTTTTCTACCCAACTTAAAAATAATTTAATAGAGAAAAAAAGGGAAAAAGGTAACCAGTAATTAAAAGAAAAACTTTTTTTAACATAGTCAATACAGTAGATTATTGTTAGCCATTAACTAACAAAGTTCCTAAAATTTCTCAGAATGTTTCATATACAAAATTAAGAATTAAATGAATAGGATTTAGGAGATAAACCAGTAGACATTTTTTAAAGATTTATTTTTAGAGAGAGGGGAAGGGAAGGACAAAGAGAGGGAGAGAAACACCTATCCACTGCCTCTCGCACACACCCCAGCGGTCGCAAACCCAGGCACTCACATGCCCTGACGGGAATCGAACTGGCGAACTTTCGCTTTGCAGGACGACACCCAACCAACTGAGCTACGCTGGCCAGGACAAACTAGTAGACATTTTTATGAGTAAATTCATTCCAGTAAATTATCCTCTTCTAAACTTAACCTACTAAAATGGCTTTTAAACATACAGACAATACAATGATAACATTACTATTATTAAATACCTGCCATAGTTGAAATTCCCAAAATAATTCCAATAGACATCTCAATATGGGTTCCCTGAAAAATGATTGCAAAGAAATTAATCTTAAAATATTAAAGTTCTAGTGACTATGCAGTAATTCATTTAATTATTAAGTATATGCATTGATGCAGAAATAACATTTTCTTTATTAAAATTAGGTTTTCATAAAAATTAAAAATAGCAACACATATACAAAACAATTCATTAAGAATCTAGGATTTCTATTTTCCTGTCACAGAGAAAGCTGCTTTAAAGCTCTTTGAGCACAAAGATGACACACTCACCTATATTTCACATTTTGAATGCTACATCTATACTATTGTTATTTATCCTATGAAAGATTAAAAAAACAGACTAAACCAATTTGTAGGAACCCAAAACATCATTAACTTCAACAATTACCCTTATAACACTTAGTTCTTTAGTCGTTAAGTAGTGAGACTATCCAACTCGTTTATGAGTAACAATCCCATTAAATACAATAGAGCCAAAGCAAAAATGAGGCCCCATTGTATTTCCACAGCACTCATTTACTAGGAGAGTTTAAGACTTTCCACTTCTATCTCATTCCTCCATACACGGAAGAATACAGGTATTCTAATAGGTAATTACACAGACTAATGAAGAAATCCTGGGATCTATAGTGCTAGTTCAATTCTAATCCTTGGACAATGCTTCCATAAATGTACTTAATTTTCAAAAGTTCTCCTGAATACTAATGCTTGAAGTGCTTTTAAAATCTGAATGATATTTGTGGAAGAAAAAAAAAGAATGCCCTATCTGGTATGTAGAAATACTGCATTAATCAATTATTTGTCAAACTGAAGAGAAGCTGAGTTAAGCTTTCCTCAATTTTCTTTCTCCTAAGCCTTTTGGTTTCGCCCCTTTAAAATCAGTTCTTATAGATCTGATACACAGAAGTCTCCCGGGCACTTAAAATTACAAGGTTGTAAAGGTACCCAAAGAAAGAGATTTCTGAAGAATAAAAACAAAGGACAGGCACAAAGCATAAAGACGTGTATATTTATAGATGGATACAAAAACAAAACAACGCTGGAGCTTTAATACTGAGGAGAAGCACCTGACAGTTACAGTGTATGAAAAATAAATACAGCACCTTTAACAGCATTGAGTCATTAGGAATGACCAAAGAAGAATCTGTTTGCAATATGTGTCTAAAAAAGTATTTAAGTGCTTAATCATTTAATTAAATTTAAGGAAGCTGAAGGTTCTTCTAAAAGCATAAAAAGCTTCATATAAAGTCAAAGTCAGTTTGAAGGCAATAGACAATCCACTCCTTTACTTTTTTTGCATAGTTCAATCAAATTTCATGTAACAGGTGAGTTAGAAGTTGTAAACAAATCAAACACTAGTTGTCTTAAAGTTATACCTGGTCCATCACCTTAATACAATTCATCTACTCCAGAATTCTAACAAATTCTATCCTAATTAATTTGCAAGAAAGATAATCCCAAACCCCACTAAATTACAGAAAAAAAAAATTCCCATAATATAAAAATATAATTTTAAAAAACTATGGAACTAAAAAGCTCAGTATGAATAGCAGTTAACAATAAAGGTTGAATCTAGCATAGGAAGTTATATATAAATTTGTCTTTATTACTACAGCTAGGGCAGCAGCAGCCCAGAGAGTGTACCTCAGAGGAAGGAAAATACCAAGTGTCCATGGCACAATCGGGAAGCAGAACCAAATACCTCCCTAACTTACTGTCTTCCCACAGTGTTAGGAGGCAATCAGTGTGTGTGTGTGTGTGTGTGTTTTAAGTAAAAAAATTCTTATAATAGTAATGGTCACTTGTTTCCCTTTTCATAGATTCTGTAGTTATATTATTTATGTATTTCAGTCTCAGCAGTGTATTATAAAGCCTCTTTGGAAAATTTCTCTGTCCCTGAACTAGTTTGCAATGATTACAGGATAATATTTTTGCCATACCTACTACTCTCAATCAGGTATTGAAGCCAGCGATTTAAATATTTATTTTAGTATTATGTAAATGATAACCTGGTGATAAGTCCCTGAAACTGGATTTCAGTGTGAACTAGAAAAACAAATGTCACTAAACTGGAGTCAACCATCTGGGGCCTGCAAAAATAGTCCGCCCTCACACTAATAATGAGACACGGGCCTGAAACACACAAAGTAGTGAACAATAACACAATAATCTGACTCTAGAATGTGGGTGTTTTGTTTTGTTGGTAGCTCTATTTAAACACAAGTATCTGTTACTTTAGATATTTATTTTCCAGCCAATGATAACACCATACTTGAAGGTCTTCTTCAGGACCTAAAAAGCTACCCAGTTTCCCTGTTCTGATCTCCCTTCAAAATCTCCCTGAGCCCCTCTTGATGCAAAATGTGTCATCAGAGCACTTCCCTGTAGCGAGGTCAGTCTTTTGGCATTCGAATATCTAAGCTCTACCCTGCTGAGGTAAAAAAAAAAAAAAAGATTTTTAAGATGGTGGCATGGAAACTAGCAGCTGTTAGTTAAGAGAATCTAAATTCTTGAGTGAGTCATATAAAATTAAAAGAAATATTTGTCACAGACTTTAATTCGGACAATGTATTGAAGAAACACAAGTCTTAACTAGAGCTTATAAATTCATCATAATGAAGTTTTCATTGCAATTAGATCTGACTTACATTAACTATTTAAATAGTCTAACCAATTCAGCTTTTAGTAATTTCAGAAAAGTGTCATTCTAACTTGCTAAGTTGTCCACATTCACAGATACCTAAATTGGCCAATTTGATTCTTATATGTATATTAGGAAAATGTTGAAATCAGTCAAAACACTAGCCTTTTGAAATATTTTAGAGGCTTTCGCCAGACTACTCTGTGAAGGAATTATCCTGCGGGTGCTGAACACCTTCGACCTGTGTGCGTGTCGGAGTGTCTTCTGTGACTGTGTGGGGGCAGGTGCCCACCCTCCTGCTATGTGAACCTGCCGGATTCCTCAGCCAGGTGAATGGCTGGACTTTCTGGATACCCAATTCCCATCAATCTGGACGCCAATGAGACTATATGGCAAAGAAAACCATTCTTGAGTGAACCAATTTTTGATATTCTTTAAGCAAACATTATAACCTATACAATGTAAATTACCCTTTTATCCCTGTTTGGAAACCAAATACTCCACTTACGTCCATTTGTGGTGATACATGTGACCTCCAAGACCCAAAAAACAAACCAACCCCAAAACTTTGCATCTCTCGTATGTATTTTCCTCATATTCAATAATCCAAAAATTGTTACTTTTGTTTAAACACCGAGCTCAGGTGAGCTTCACTCGCCTACCCACTGAGGATGGACTGGGGGCGGGAGGGGGCTGGAAGTGGGGGAGAAAGGCGGGCAGGGCGACAGGAGGAGGAGCTAAGGCAGGCTTTGCTCCAGGACCAGGACTGAGGACCCCTGTCACGCATAATGGCTGGAGTTGATAGAATTTCACTGAAGTTGGAGTCAGTTAAGAGAACTGATAGAGCACTGGGTGGTTTCAAAACAGATGCATTTTAATCATGGACTTATTTCTGACTTTAGAATCTGAACCCAACACTGGGATCCATGAACAATAGGTGTCACGTAACAGTAAAAAAGAGAAATCGGCCCTCCCTGAGACTAAACAACACTTTTAAAGAACACCCTCACGTTGAGCACAGAAAAGGAAAACTCTTTTCAACATTACAGTGAAACAAAGACAGAAGAGGTGTGTATTCACAGTGCTCTGAATTGAAATTTAGAACATCTTCTGGTTAAATGGATAGACTGTATAAAAACACCCTTTAAAATATTTTTTGCAAGGGAAAATTGAACAAGGAACTAATCAAATAACATATGTGATATAAACTGCTGATACAATGAAAGAACATCAGAAAATTTTACATATGTTTTTATTTAATAAGAATGTTGAAACCAGAACAGGATAATATAGACCACTGCAATACATATGTGTTTATTGTCCATGTTTTACCAAAAAGTCTTAATGATTAGTATATACGATGCTTTAAAATTGAGCTACAGTCTAACATAAAATATAGTAAAAAATGGCTTCATTCATGATACTAATTAAAACTTAATAGCTACAATATGCAAATTACCAGAAAAATTTAGAGCACATAAGTTTCTTTATTTACTCAAAATAGAAGGGGTGAGAGAAAGCACTTACTGCAACAATCATAATTGCATTATCCAAAAAGCCAAACCCTATGAAAGGTATCGCATTGTGGATGAATACTGAAAAACATCAAAAACAGAAAAATATATTTTAAGATTTCTATAATTTTAAAATGACAAAACAGACCATATGATTAAAGTCTCCTAAATAGATCAGATAAGCTTTGGAATTTGCTTTCCATTCCCCATAGCCATAAGAGTCTGCTCCTGCTGTAGTTTCGCTACTTGGTAGGAGCTATACTGAGGGGAAAAAAAAATTAAAAACACATAACATGTAAAAACAACTGTGTTAGGCTTTTCTATTTCTTATTGGCAACACACACACAAATTACAGACAGTTAATGGCAGAATAAGTAAATAAATACTTTGAATACCATGTTAATTGATATTGATATCAATCTGTTTCTCTCTTAGACTGATATTATAAAATTGATCTCCGCACTAGAAATAACAAAAAATTCCCTGAATTTTTTGGAAGCTATTTGGTCACTATTTCAGGGAAGCTATTTGGTCACTTTTACTCACTAAAGATTTTTTTAAACAAACGTTAGAAAAATGTGATTATCTTATCTATATTTTAGGTGCCTATGTGCAAAGTCTTTTTTCCCCTCACGATGCACCAGTATCCCTGAATACTTTCACAAACTATAAACAAACAAAATTGTATTTAAATCAAAACGTAACTTGGCCTCTTCCTACCAAAGGCATACCTTACCTCATCTGTCTTGTACATAATCTGAATAACCTGAGACAATAGAAGCTAAGAAGAATACCTATATAATTTTTACACACTAAGTCTCATTCTACTCATGTTTGCATCTTCAGCACATTGCAGAATGCCTAGTGCATAGTAGATGCTCAATAAACATTAGCTAAGTAAATTGAGGACCACTAACCTGGAAAGGAAGAGAACTCCAGATTGAGAGAACTGAACGCAGACTGTGAAATCGTTCAAAAGCTAGGGATAGTTAAAAGACTTTATTCTAATTAATCTATAAAACTGTCAAGGTATAGTCTGTATCAGTTCAACTAAGGAGGTTTTGTTTTTAAGATAAACATCAAAGCTCCTAGTTTTATACTACATCCAAAATATAAAGTCCGGTAAACCAATTGGTTATGTGTTCAGTTTCAGTGACTTTAGAGTTCTTTTTTTTATGCAGTAACACCCACAGATAGTATAATTAAAATATAACCCAGAAATTATGAAGGTTTGGTATTACTATAATGAGACAGTCAGAGAAGGCTAATAAATAGTCTAAAATACCTACAAAAAAAAAACTCTACCCACAATGACTATCAAAGACTAAGATCAAGAGAAATTAGTATATATACAAGGTCATTTCAGATTTCCTCTTGTTATCAAGCAAGAATGTCTGAGATAAAAAGCACATCTTTTAATTATAAAGAATATTATTTTAAAGCCTATTAAAGATGATAAAAATCAAATAGCACATAATGAAATGGGATTTTTTCAATTAAAGAGTCTAGTCTTATTTCTTTGACTTTCTGTCTAAGTCTAGTTGCTTAACTACTAAACATTCAAAATTTTATAAGTAGCCAAAACATATCCACAATCTCAATTTCCAAAAAAATATAATACAAATTTGATAGGTCAAAAGAGGACAATGAAACTTTTAAAATTCACTGAATGAAACAATTTACAGTGAAGAAAAAACTACTTACATATATCTCTGGAGAAAAAGCCTCCCAAATCATCTTCTCAGCTGTCTTTTAAATATAAATATGACAAAGTAACTACAAATCTTTGGGATTACTTAACATTTTGGCATCTCTAAAACTGGCCAGTTACAAATACCTTAAAGTTACGTATTAAGGTTATTAAACTACGATTAGATTAATTGGTATTAGTTAAAACTTGGTCAAGAAAACCAAGGCAGGTTGCTGTTCTAACTTTGAAGTATAAAATATATCAAAGTTTTATGTTCAGACCTAGATAAATGTGACCTATAAAAGTGTATTTTCAACCCAAAGGAGAAATATAATTTTCAAAAGGTTAATAAATGTACTGCATACTCCACAAGGCACTTGGGATACAAAGACAAGTGAGACTTGTTTACTGGCCCTCAGGATGTTGGAGTGTGATAACACACTCACGTAAATACTTCATTTCAGTACGACCAGGAGTGATAACAGTATTACATAGTGCTATGGACACAGAACATACGAATATAGGCTATTAGAATCAGGAAAGGTTACGTGAAGTCTTAATTCTTAAACTGCTTTGGTATTTGGGGGCAGTTACTCATTTCTAACATAAATTATATTCTACCTCTGAGAGAAAAAAGCACTGACTATGAAATATGTTTTTAAAAATTGGTATATTTGCTCTCCAGTGTAATGGTCTCCTTTCAATTTGTGATTTCTTCCATTTCCTTTGGGAAATACTATTCTATAACTCAGCAGTTATCAGCAAATCACATCTCATATTTAGCTTTAACTTACAACCTACTAAAATTCACTGAGCTGATAAATAATTCTCTTCTTTCACTGTCTTTATAATAAGTTCCCGAACTGTTCACATTACTTCAGTGTTAGCCTTTGAATATGTATTCCTGCCACGAAGAGCCAGGACAGCACGCCAGCAGCATCGTAAGGTTCTTCTTCCCGGTGGTTTTAAATGAACTCCACTTTCTCCATCACCATGAACAGTAAGTGGAAAGGTTTTCTCCCCCAGAGAATAGTCCTACCTAGCTTTGGGCCTAGTAATTCCAGCTGGGCAATTGCCCAACTTAAATCCAAACTAAAGGAAATATATCCTTTTTCCTGGAAATTAGGAAAATCTCTACGATAAGTATAATTCTATTTCAAGATGGTAAAAATATTTAAACAACAATAAATATGGGTAACAATGTTAGAAATGCCATAATATTGTGATAAGTCTTAAACTAAGTTTATAAAGTTTTTGCTCTGGCATAATAAAGAAGAAATAAAATAACCCCCTCTATCTGGAAAGAAATAATTTATTGGCTCTTTTGCACTATCAGTGAATGATAACAGTTACTGCAAGTCCAAAAGACAGATGCACAATACTTAACAATCATAGAACCATTACCGTATCTCAGCTGTCCCGGGGTGGGTGGTGGAGCTTCCAGTTTTTCTAAAGGGGAAAAAAAGGGCGTGGGGCAAGAATTAGTGACTGTGGCATGATTTCTTTTTTCTGTTACAATGAAGAAAACACCAGTAGATTTACAAAGTGGCAAAATATCAGAGTTTATTCACAAAGTATCTTTCCGTTAATGGACCAAACTTATCCACACAGAAAATATTTGGTACGGACTAAATCCAAGGCTGGAAAAGGAAACTGAGCTTAGGCACAAGCCTGCCATTGAGTCTATAATCCTGGATAAATCATTTGCTTTTCAGGTGTTTTTTTTTTAAGTCCTTGCATCTGTATAATAAGCCTGTTTACATTAACTACAGTTTTAAAAACTTCAAAAATACAGCTACCATTCTTTAAGATGGCAACCCTAGATGACTTAAGAAATTTATATTTAAATGAACAGTGATAGCAAAGGAAAAAAAGAATATTCAAATAAACCTAGATGTCCATTAAAAATAGAAAAATAGTATTTTTGAAGCAATGTATTATCATAATGATTGCATTCTATTCCTTAATTAATTTCCCTTGATAATATACTAAATATTTGGAGTTCTGAAACCTGTACTACTGGATAATATAGAACATTCTACACATTAAAATAAGCTAAAAATATAGGGAGTTATTCAACAAGTAACAAGATACTATTTGTAATATATGTCATAATAAACACACAAAGTTTTCCCAAGTATATATCAAATAAATACCTTCAAGTGCCATCATTAAATCTAAAAGTTAATAATAATTACAAAAAAGCAACCTACCTAATCTCACAATAACAACCACAACCCCATCGAAAGCCACAGTAAAGTGCTAGAGAATCCTATTGCACCTTCTTCATCCATCAAAAACCTAACAAGAAAAACCCACAGCATGGATTGCTCTCCTCTAAAGATTCAATACAACCAGGTTTTCCAAGGAAGCATAATACAAACTAAGCATACATTTTCTAAAATATTTATATATATGACAACATAAAAACTGAAGAATTTAGTTTTTAAAAAAGCAAAATGCAAATAAACCACCATTTATAAGCTATATAAAAAACAGAGTTCAAATCATATTTGTGAACATCATTAAAAAAGCATGTGGTACCACAACGGCTTTATAATAAGGAACACATTAAAACCTAGACTTAAACAATTATTGTATTATTCACAAAGTTCTAAGAATACAAGTTTAAGTTTTGTTTTTCCTCTTTTAGAAGTGTGAAAGAATAAAAATAAGCTAATCTTTGTAGAATTTTACATCTCATTAAAATATATCCTCCACTCTTTGACTGGCACTACTACCTCAAAATTCACTTTGAGGATATGCAAATAGCTTTCCAAATTTTTAACAAGGATACAGTATAGCACTGGGGTGCACAGAGTTTTCTGGTGAGGTAAACGTGCAAAAGTGGTTACAGACCAGAGCCATTTGCCAGCCGCATTACTCTTCCCATCACCACAGCTCTGACACCTTTGCCAGAAGTCCCTGGCAATTGACTGGAATATCCTGAAACATCTAAAAATTCAACACGCAGGACCTTCCCAACAGAATGAGTATATAGTGTGCTTGCTTTCACTTCTTCAAATTCGCTACATATTAACCAAAGTATTTCAGATATTTTGTAACTCCTAAGGTTTAGGGGCTAGGAAAATGTATAATGTGTTGCAGGAAAGAGAAACAAATCAAATAATGTATATAAGTTCCTAATCTTTCTTTCCAACTACACAAAAAGGATTAAAAAATGAAAGGTAATGAAAAAATAATTGTTTAAGAGAAAGAGACCTAAAGTAAAGGAGACGGAGCGAAAACGAAAACCGCTGGCGCGGAGTTGGAAGTAAAGTCACGTACAGATTCTGTCTCCCACTTCACAAAGATCCTCAGGAGTAACCAGAGGAAATATAAAAGGAACATTTGCTAGAAAGTAGACATTTTATGTAAAATATAAATTTTATGGAAAGTACCTATCAAAATAATTTAAATTACAAAGTGATCATTTTGAATGTGAATGATCATTTGAAGATATCTGAATTGATATTCAAATGCATGGCTGACCTATGAATCATACACAGGTGCAGGGAAACCCCCCCAAATCCTAGCTAAGTATAAAATAACCAAAAATTTGAGCTTCAGCCCAAGAGACAGTTTGTAGTCTGAACCTAACCATTAATTGCCTGCTAAAACAAATTTTTAAAATCCATACTTGAAAAAAATAAAACAGAAGCCAGAGTCTCTGTAACATAAAATTACTTCACAAAGAAACAGGAAAACATGACCCATTTTCAGGAAAAAAAAAAGTAGACAAAGACCAATCCAAAGTGATTCAAATGTTAGAAAGAACAGGTGAAGACTCTAAAGTAGCAATTAAAATTGTATTCAAGATGTAAATGAAAATATGCTCAAATAGAAACTGTAAAAAAGAACCAAATTAATTTTGAAAACTGAAAAATATATGATCTGAAACTTAAAATGAACTGATGAGGATTAAAATCAAAATGGCGGTGATAGAAGAAAAAGTTAGTGAACATGATGATATATTGGTAAAAGTTTCCCAATCTGAAAAATACAAAGATTAAAAGGTAAAGAACCAGAGTTTCAGGACCTTTGGCTAAATATCAAAAGGTCAGTATATGTATAACTGGACTTCCAGAAGACGAGGAGACAGAACCAAATTTTTTTGAATAAATTGCTAAAAATTTCCCAAATTTGGCAGAAGACAGAACTTTCAAGAGCTACAAGAAGTTCAGTGAACTCCTAGTAAATATGAAGAAAACCAGTAATGTAAAAAGAAATCATGAAAGCAGTCAGAAAAAAATGGCACATTAAATACAGGAAAACAATTACATGAAAAGGCTGAAAGGAAAAAAACTGTCAGTCTAGTATCATATATTCAGAAAAATTATTCTTCAAGAATGAAGGCAAAATACATCACAAATAAACTAAAACTATGGGGATGAGTTGCCAGGCAACCAGCACAACAGGAAATACAAAAGGAAGCTCTTCAGACTGAGGGGCAACGCCAGTTAGAAAGCAGGAACTTCAGAAAAGAATGAAGAGCATCAGAGATGGTAAATATTGGTAAATGTAAAAAATGTACTTTTTTCCTAGTAATTTAAAAGATTTTATTTTATTGATTTTAGAGAGGGGGAAGAGAGGGAGAGAGACAGGGAGAGAAACATTGAGTGAGAAAGAAACATGGATTGGTTGCCTCCTGTGTGCACTCAACCAGGACCAAACCTGTAACCTAGGCCTGAGCCCTGACTGGGAATTGAACCCATGACCTCTCAGTCCACAGGACCATGTCCCAACCACATGAGTCACACTGGCCAGGGCTTTTACCTAGTAATTCAAGTAAACCTGCCTGTTTATAGCAAAAAATTACAGGGTGGCCTTGTGGCATCTATAACATAGGTAGATGTAATACATGTGACATCAAAGAGTAAAGGGTGAAGAGGGTTACAAATGGACCAAGCGGTAATTTGGCTGCAATATTTCTGCAACATGTATGAAGTGGTCCAACAGTAGGTCTTACTGGCTCAGAAGGCATATTTGTCATCCCAAGAGCAACCACATAGACAAAATGCAATGAAAACATAGTTGAAAAGCTAAATAAATAACTTAAAGAGAATTCCAAAATGCATGAAGTCAAAAGAAACAGGAAATGAGAAAAGAGAAACGAAAAACAGGGACAAACAGAAACCAAATAGTAAAGTAGTAAAAACTATATCTAGTCATATCAATAATTATATTCAATGTTAATGAACCAAACACTCTTATAATTAAAAGGCAGAGATTGTCAAAATGTATAAAAAAGCAAGACCCAAGTATATATCTGCCAGAATTACAGTCTAATAGGTTGGAAGTAAATGGATGGTAAAGATATACTGTATAAACAGGAAGCTTACAGAAGCTGGAATGGCTATACTAGTATCAGATAAAGTAGACTTAAAGACAAAAAGTACTGTATTACCAGAACCAGGTTTAAATGATAAAAGAGTCAATTCATAAAAAGGCAAAAAAAAATTTTGTTTATACCTAACAACAAAATGCAAAATAAACATTTCCATAATCACACTTGGAAATATAAAAGCTTCTCAGCAACTGACATAGAAGAAATATAAATGGAACACCTATAGTTTCTACATTTTAATTTCCATTATAAAACAAAACATATGTGCAGTGATGATGCTAGAAAACACCATGAAGGTCCTTGATATGTAGAGCCAGTTCTAGTACCTTGTGTAATAGAAACTAGAGTTCTATAGTTTGTCATTTTCATTGTTAAACATTCCATTAAATGTAACCATGCCTCACAAGTTTTCAAGTTATAAATCCAAACTTGAAACAAACAAACAAAAAATCTGAAAAACAAAGAGTCTTGTTTTCTATTACACATTCATGGCAATGATAATTCTAAACATTCTGACTTATTTCAGTCTGTTACCATGGGCATAAACATCAATATAATATCACAAATCAAGGGGAAAATTCAAAATCATTTATAATAGACTTAGTAAGTACTAAAGCAACCTCACCCTGAATGACAGAACAGTTTAATGCATACACTATAACCTTTAATTATAAAGAACTAAATACTCTGGAAGTGACCAATTATCTACTTTCTATTCTGCTGGCCACCTAATAGTATTTGCTGCAGGCCCCACCCTAGCAGCTTCCCGAGAAAGTATACAGCTGTAGACTTGGGCAACACAAATTACTATTTGGCCTCATAAGAGAGTTATAAAAAGGACACAGATAAAACTACTGCATTTAAGCAGTAATTTGAGGGCTATGTTTCTGAACATTATAAATAACTATTTAGACTTTAAATAGAACCAAAGTTCCGATGGATGAGGTAAGATTTACAATAAATATATGAGGTCTGTCCAGAAAAAGTCCAACCACTGTTAATAGAACAAGAACAGTTTGCATGGCATCGATAAAACCTGGCAGCCAAGGAGAGTGAGCTGGAATGTGCATGTGTGAACACGGGTGACTTTACTGTACTAGTCAGTAGGGATGGTAGACACTGGTGAGTGAGCATGTGTACTGTGTGGCTGTCACATTCAATAGACTGAGCAAGTAGAGCAATGAATCTGCATCAAATTTTGCATCAAGCTTGAACATTCCTCTGCAGAAACTAATTGGATGATTCAGAAGGCTGCAGCTATGGGCAACTGGTGATTGGCATCTTCATCACAACAACGTGCCTGCTCATGCATCACGTCTGTGCAGTTTTTTGGCAAAACATCAAATCATCCAGGTGACTCAGACCCACTACAGCCCAGGTTTGGTGCCCTGTGATACTGGCTTTCCCCCAAAATAAAATCATCTTTAAAAGGGAAGAGATTTCAGACTGTCTGAGATTCAGGAAACTACGACGGGGCAGCTGATGGTGATTGGGAGAACTGTGTGAGGTCCCAAGGTGCAGACTTGGAAGGGGACTGAGGCTTCATTGTCCTATGCACAATGTTTCTTGCATCTTATATCTTCTCCAAGAAATGTCTCTATTTTTCATATTATGTGGCTAAATGCTTTCTGGACAGACCTCACATAACATTTAAAAATACAAACTTAAAGTGCAAACCATGCTGTATGAAAAATAATTTAAGCAAATCATATTAAATGCCAAAAAAATCAAACATGCACCAAAATGAGTTTGTGAAGCTACAGAGCAATATTTTTAAAAAATAAATGAGTTAACATCTCTAAGAAATATAAAAACTAATACTCAAAATTGAAAAATGAAAATACCCTATAGAAATAGAAAGGAACTTAACTTCTTAGTAAATTTCAAACAACAGGTTTTGTCTTTTAAAATAAAGACTATAATTACAAAACAACTTTGAAATTTATTTTAAAATATGCTCTAAGACCCCCAAAAAGAAATTGAGTGTGATTTTGTCATTTTATTTAGCATTCAAGTTCCCTGCACATTATGTGGTAAAGGAATCTATATAGATCACATAATACTGTCACCTCATTAACCTTCTGGGATACGTATCACGCAACCTGGGGCTTCTTTGCAACCCAGAATGCTGCCCAGCTTCCTTAAGGGCAACTACCCCATTCCTGGGCTGAGGCAGGCCAGTGGCTTAAGAGTTGAGAACAGAAGTTGCCCAGTAGTAATGATGAGGAAGGTGACAGTGCTCAATGAGTCATCATCCTCATTAGCCTCATTAATACACTAGCCTCTTAACTGTTTACCTGACTTAAGAAAAAGTAAACACTACAGGCATAATAATTGACTCATATTTCTCTTATAGCTGTCATCTCACAGAGGATTTTTTTTGGATAATCAAACATACTATTGAATAGTGGTTGCTTTTATATGCCTAACTTGAGTACTTGGGACAATTGTATACAGTTCTTAATACAGAGGCTATATTCCTTCCTTTCCTTCACACTAAAGGAAGACAAAAAAATAATTACTATATATGATGATATTCCTTTTTAAAAAAGACTAAGATATTAAAACAACAGCACAGCTTTTAAAAAACAGACCTTGTTACTTTAACTTATTAGGTATAGAGAGAGCACTATAATGTATAAACCCTCAAGATCTCACTTTCATGGCACATAAAATGAGTTTAGGTCTCCGTGATCCCTTCTAGCTCTGCGGTTCTGAGTCTACTGCCTAACTCGCAGGATTTAAAAAATGGATGCACCACCCAAACACTCCTGAAGCAGCACAGTACAGTGAGCAGAGCTGTAACTAAACACCGAGTCTCAGAAGGTGATCACCGACGGGTACGTCCTACCATCAGTTTAGCTACTGTTCGGCAGCACCTTACCTCCTAGTGAAAAAAATTATCCTTTTTTCCCTACCCTATCCTAAAAATGAGGGCTAACTAAACAATCTGCAAAATAATTCAAAATTTAAACTTTATTCTTCAAAAGGCCTTTGCATCAAGCTTTTAACATCTACATATAAACTGTGGTTAAAATTTTTAATTTTAGAATGACATTAGAACTGGTAAAGTATACAGGGGGATGTTTGCAGACATGTACTGACATGTTAACATATAAATATATGTATGTGTGTAGACACACACACTATTATGCCTCTAGCTCTCTGAAGTTTGTAAAGTTTGGTTTTTGCTCATTGGCAAAAGTAGGTTTCCAGTTATGAGTACACAAAACACAGAGTTTATTCTTGTATTATTTATTTAACCTGCATGTCTTCTTCATAAAAACCGTATTTACTTTTTCCCTCCCTGTATACAGCCTAAGAAAACTAAGTTGCATTTATCCTTTACCCTTTTAAAATTTCAACTGGTCCATAAAATATTTCTGATTCCTTTTCATATACTGTGTCATACTTCCTAGGCAGTGTGTCTATATTAAATAGTAATAAAAATAAAATAGGAACAGAGAAGTATTTATTTTTATACCTACTCATCTACCTCCCTTCCTCCCTCTCTCCTCTCTCTCAAGCTGTATGGAGATTGAATCTAAAAAAAATTTTTCGTGAATGGCCTTAAAATAAAATTATATAAGACTTTCAAATTATTTGAGAATATATTTTTAAAATATATATTTTCCTGAAGTTCAGTTACTTAAACACAGTTTCTCTTTATAATATATATATTCTGAAGGTTTTCCTGTGTGGTCTTTTTTCCTACTCATTTTTCCTATTAATAATCTTTGTTGCTTTTTATAAGTATCTTGCCAGGGTTATTACAATTTTTAAAATACACTATTCAAATATAACTAAATGTAAACGATTTTGTCTTTTGTTAAGGTCATAAATTTAATCCTTCAGTTAATTAAACATGCAATTATTATTCCATCATATCCAGAGTCTAGGATTAGATAGTAAAAAATATTCTGTAGACAACCTAAAACAATGATGCAAAAAAAAAATTATCATTATAACTAAAGCATGCTATTTCAAACCAGCAAGAAGTCAAACGTTCTGTCAAATAGATGCTTTGCTATTTGCAATAAACATCTAATGAGCAACCAGTACTGTTAAGATTGTACTATACCAAAACTATCAGGGACCTCTGCTGCTGATACCTTCTTTGCTGGCTTCACAACAGGAATCTCAGGTTTGGGGTATCTGCATGCTGAAAATATTTTAAAATCAAAATGTATTCAAGCAATAAAGTAAATAAAGTATGTATAAATAAAACGTGTGTAGGAAATTTTGAAGTGAATCACGCTAGAATATAGGCAGCCCTCACTTTGAACAACAGTGTGGGGCCCTTAACCTGCCAATGCAAGCTGCGACCGTGCAAAATGCAGAAAATTACAATTGTTCTGTGGCCTTTAAAATGTTTTTCCAAACATTAAAACCTCTTACAAGAAAACCGAAGTCTGGAACCATGTATGGCGACAGGTGTTAGCCAGACTTACCACGGTGATCATTTTGCAACACATACAAACATCAAATCATTATCTTGTACATCTGAGACTAATATATGTCTGTTACACTGCAATGAAAAGTTTTTTAAAAACTCCTCTACTGTCAGAAATATAAGAAAAAATTTGAAATAGTAAAACTAATGTTTATTTAGTATACTATAATTTAAAATACCAGAAACACTGATGATTAAAGTTTTGTTCTTTCTTCGTAAAAAAATTATCAGAGCTAGTAGCTTCAACAGTGCAGTGCCCTTCTCACCATTTGACACGACACGGAGCAGGCCCTGGTGGACTGCCACACTCCTCTCTGCGTCTGGATTGGCTCACACATTTTAAAACCCTGTGTATTTTCAATGTCATAAAGTATCTCCGAGAGTCCTTTAGTGTGAGGTGTGCACCACAGCCAGTTCCTCTGGAACATCTTCATCCTTTTCATCACCGTCCCAGGCTCCCCTGGCTGCACAGCTGGAGTCTCTCAAAGGGCAGCAGCCCGACATGGCCCCATCTCAGAGGCCCGCCTCGGCTGAAGAATGCTGCCCCGCCCAAAGAATGCTGCCCCGCCCAAAGCTCCGCACCCTGCCCGGAGCAAGGCACCTCTGTGAACCTGAGCCCAACAGCTCCTTTCCACAGAGGCAGAGGCCCGGACCTCCAACCCAACTCAGGACAGCACTGAAGGGTCCCTGTGTCTCTGGAAACCTCCACAGGGTCAGCTGAGGCTTCCACTGAGGTTGCATCACTTTACTCCTACCTCTGCCCAAACCTGCTTCCCTCCTTTCTTCCTCCCCAACAAACATCTTGCGTGCTAATCACTGTCGCAGAGACTGCTTCCCAAGGAACTTAACCGTGGCAAGTATAACAGGGCAGCATGTTAGCACCAAGTTCTCAAACGTCTGGGGGCGGGGGAGGGGGCGGGGGAGGTTGGGGGCAGGGCCTACTGTACTACACTTAAAACTTTTCTATAAATTTGAGATTGTTTCAAAATTTAGAAAGTAATATAAAGTTCAATGGAGAAGGTACACTACAATTACACTAAAAAGTTCTCATTGTATAGCTATAAAATCAGTGTTATCAATGAACAGTTTTTCTAATGTCTTTAAGAAGGCTCTTTGAGGGGAAAAAAAAATTGGGTAATGTTTTTTAAACCAGATCTTTCTCACATGCAAACATAAAATTCTGCCGCCTCACCAAAAGTACCACATCTTACATCATCACGCTCATGTCTGTTTGCCTGTCTCCTTGCACGATTCAAACATGCCTGAGCGTATCTACGGGGCCTGTGCGGAAAAAGTCCAGCCACTGTTAATCTAACGAGAACTGTTTTGTGATATCAGCGCAAGGTGGCAGCCAAGGAGAGGGCACTGGAATGCACATGCGTGAACACTGATGACTTCACTGCACTAGTCAGTGGGGACAGCAGGTGCGGTTGAGAAAGCATGTGTACTGTGTGGCCGACGCATTCAAAATGCCTGAGTGAGTAGAGCAATGAATCTGCACCGAATTTTGCACTAAGCTTGAACATTCCTCCGCAGAAACCACTCGAATGATCCGGAGGGCTCTCGACGACACTGCAGTGAGAGCAGCAGAAATAAAAGTGTGGCACAAGCGCTTCGAAGATGGGCAGGAATCCGCTGAAAGTGACCCCTGTTCTGGAAGGCCTGCGACAAGCAGAACGCCTGAGAACGGTGAATGTGTTCGGGCTGCAGTCAACAAGGATCACCGACTGACAGCGGGAGAAGCAGAAGCTGACCTGGGGACTCCCAAAACCACCGTGTCCAAGATTTTGACGCAGGATCTTGGCATGAAATATGTTCTAGCAAAATTCATTTCATGGCTTCTGCTACCAGAGCAGAAGGAACATTGTGTTGCAATTGCTAACAACTTAATTCAAACCACTACCAATGAACCAGCTTTCCTCAAGAACATCATAAACGGAGATGAATTGTCAGTCTTCGGCTAGGATCCTGAAACAAAGGCCCAGGCATCTCAACAGAGGTCGCCTGGTTCTCCATGCATGAAGAAGGCACGGCAAAGCCACAGCAAGATCAAGACCATGTTAACTGTGTCTTTTGATTGGGAAGGTGCTGTCCATCAAGAGGACGCCCCTCCAGGCCAAACAATGAACAAGGGATACTACCTCAATGTTCCTCGTCAGCTGAGGAGGGCAATACAGCGCAGACGGCTGCAGCTATGGGCAGCTTCATCACCTGCCCATGAGTTACATCTGGTGCAGAATTTTTTGGGGGGAACACCAAATCACCCAGGTGACTCAGCTCCCCTCCAGCCCAGATTTGGCACCCTGTTACTTCTGGCTTTTTCCAAAGCTATAATCACTTTTGAAAGGAAAGAGATTTCAGACCGTCAATGAGATTCAGGAAACTACAACAGGGCAGCTGAAGCCAGTTCCAACAAAGGATTTTGCAGAGCATTTTGAATGGTGGAAGAAACACTGGGAGAACTGTGTGAGGTCCCAAGGTGCAGACTTTGAAGGGGACTGAGGCGTCACTGTCCTATGCACAATGTATCTTATATCTTGTGTCTTCTTCAGTAAGTGCCTCTATTTTTCATATCACATGGGTGGATACCTCTGGACCGACCTTACATGTAACCTTACCTCTCTCCCACCTTAAGACCAAAACAAAAACCACCTTCTATAACCTTGCTACTCACGGTCCCTGGACCTGAGGCATCGAAATCACTGGAAACGTTAGAAATGCAGTCTCTGGCGCTCTCTGGAACCTACTGAAGGAGAACCTGCATTTCAGTAAGCTAGACTCCCAGATGATTTTATACGTACTTCAAACTTTGTGAAGCACAGATTCCACCGTGGGGTGTGGACAGCAACACAGAGCACAGCTACCACCCTTACAGGAAACCAAGTCAAACCAAATTCACACTCATGATGTATTTCCAGCCCGACCCATAAGAGAACTGAAGTCACAGAGCAAACAGCTTGGCCTAAGTCAAAGGAGAGGCAAGCACCTGCAAGGGCAGAGGGGACGTCAGCACTTGCTTACATGGGACCAGTGCAACCAGACACCCGGAGAAGGGTACGGCTGGCACAGTATGGGGACAGGCGAAGGCAGGGTGCAGGCCAGCGGGACGGTGGGAAGGCACTAGCACACACAGAGACTGGGGGAGTCTGCACTTCCTTGCAGACTCTCTCACCAGACACCCCACAAGACACGAAAGGTGGTAAAAGAGGGAACCTTGAGAAAGCGTCTGTTTTGGTGCAGACCTGCAGGAGCAGAACAGCAGTCGTGAGGAGGGAACGTGAAATTCTACCTGGATCCTTTTTCCCATCTCTCCTGAGAGCCAAAAGCTTCAATCTGTGAGGAGGTCAAAAATACTGTCAGGTAGGGTGACCAACTGTGCAGCTTGCCGGGGGCTGTCTTAGTTTCAGCAATGCAAGTCCTATACCCTGGAAAAAAGTGTGACCCCGCAGCTCTTAGATGCTGTAATTTGAAAAATGGAGTTGCAAATCATCTTCTTGATTCTATAAGCTACTTACCAAAGAAAATAAAAAGATCTTACCTACTAAGGGGCCTGCATATCTCCTATAGAATGCTGCTATGGAGGAGTGTGATATGCTTACCTACAATATTTTATTGTTCTCTAATGAATTAGAATTCTACACAGGACTGTCTGTAAAAAAAGTGAATATACTAGTAACAAATATTTTAAATAAGCTCAGACCTCTAACCTGTGGGTAGAGAGAGAATCTCAGCAGAACTCCAGCTACTGCAGCAGTACTCTCCACAGTTTCCTTTAAGAGCTGAATCCTCCTTAATCGATACTCCCTCCTCAGCTGGCACAGTTCTTAGAAAACTGCTTCCGACAAAGACATCAGTCTTTTCTGTGTTATTAAATCCTATGCGCCTTCTATTTTCCCTACGGTCTTCCCTTTATTTGACTCATCTAAAGCACCAGATCATTTCTCCGTCTTCGTCACTTAGCTTCTGGAATACGCCGTTCTTGTGATCCTTCCTGTGGAAAGGAAGTTTGTGGAAACTCCTCCTCAGTCTACTTTGAATTCTGGTTCTTCTTCCTCTTCCCTGCCAACAAACATCAGTGTTCCCTCCTGGACCTCCTTCTCCATCTACATACAGTTGTGGACACCCATACTGAACATCTTCAGCCTCAACTTCCCCTGTGAGTTTCAGGTTTACGTCATAAGTACACACATGCACACTCCCCTAATTACTTGGTAAGTCCACTCACAAAGGTATCTTAAACTTGACACGTCCAAAATTAACAATTTTAATTTCCATCCCCAACATTATTTTCCCCCAGACTTCTCCCTCAGTTAATAGGACCATCTTTTGCTCAATCACTAGTCAGAAACCTAATCCTCACCTTCTACTTTCTTCCCCTTAATTACCTATTTCTAATGCACCAGCAAGTCCCATCAATTCACCCCAGATAAGTATCTTGAACCCATCCCCTTTTCTCAGACCCCGCAGCCACCCAGTCTCACCCACCATCACCCCCAGCCTAGACTGCTGTCACAGCTCCCTAACTGGTCTCTTACGCATTTGCACCCTTCCTCAGTCCGTTAGCAGCCAGAGTGCTCTTTAAATGACCACACTCTTGTGTTCGAACCCTCAAGTGGCTTTCCTACTGAGAAAGACCCCGACTAACCTGGCGTCTGTCTACCTGCTCATCCCACTCTGCACTCCCCTCTGCTCACTAAATCCCACCCATG